GGCAACGGATACGCACGTAGAACATTGTTCAACCTCCAAAGTTTCTAGCCGATGGAAGAAGAATTGGGGATTGTAGAGAAACTAACTTCGTGCATTACCTGAGGCATATATTGTTCAGTTTTAAACCAGTAGACCACTGCTATTCCATTTCGCATCAATGCGCTGACATTAATATGCGTTAAACGTTAATAGCGCATGGAATGTATAAATATCGTAGAATTGGAGAAATTGCGAAATATACTCGACTTTACTAACAGAACAAGGTTGATTGACAATCGTAACGTTGTGTAAAACAGAGTGGGCGGCGGAGATAGCGCAGTGATTAGTAATGTCGTCGATCAGGAAACAAAGGCGCTGGTTCAACCCCCGACCCAAGGCTCTCCTCCAATCCAAATAGGAACACCCTAGCCGGGCTATCTCCAACATTGCAAAGAGAGTTGACCCGACCAGCATTCTACGATGTCCATAAAGAGAACGAAATCCACTAGTAGCACCTGAAACAACACATGAAATGTGCGGAGACCCTTGTGAACGATGATGGCGAAGGAAACGAATCGAATGCAAGAAATGCTGGGATCCGGGGAGCAGATGTGACGACGGGTCATGTAAAATCATATGAAATAAGTGTAGTACAGAGCACATGGCATATGCATTTAAGAAAATAGTAAACGTGCTTCAAAAATTAAAAACAATAAGGTTAGAAGGCCCGAAGTTTCTCAGTTAACGAAAAGTGACAACGCACCACCGAAAACTAAGCGTGGTACAAGGTATCGATTGGTGCTGCAATGAGGTGCGGACGAGTTCAGTTGATTTATCTAACCTAGAAAAATTGCTCGTATTCTAATGGGTTAATCACGCTAAACGTTTCGTTATAAATGAGTCGTTCGTTTTTTTTCGACATATTTATGGAAAAGTCCGGTTACTCAAGTTTGAGGTTCATTCTGCAGCTATTACAGAAAGTCACGCGTGGCAGATTCTCGAAAAGGTGGCTATTCCATATTTATCACTCGCGAGGAATGACCTCCGTATGTGTCCGAATGAAGTTGAGAGAGTGACCTGTATGACACCTATAGGTTTAATTTTGTGATACGGTATGAGACCTATGAGTGTCATTATCCTTCCTCTGGTTTATTTTAACGTTTTCTTACACTTCTTATAATCAATCGATAGCTTGCCTAACGCAGAGGCTATTGCGCACGTCGTCCATGAGAAGTGTGTTTAATAATTTCTCACTAATTTCTGATTTTCTGCGCCGAAACTATTGCTGTGGCCAGTGAAGAGGCATAGAAATACCTCTGTGCCTCGTGGAACTGATACCACACACTGTGCTACTTCATTTTTGACAAGATTTACGGTTCACGGTTTGCCGATTTTTAATCGTAATCGAGTTTTGAGTATTCTGTAGAATGAGAGAATATCAAAACCATAAAGTGAACATCGTAATGATCCTTACATTGCACAACTTTTATAACTTTATTAAGTGTTGACAGCAGTATGATTGCGTGGGGGATGGTTGTTTCTTCTTCATACACAAGGGTTCATATGCACTAAAAATGGGAGGGTGCATAGGAGAACATAGAGCATATATTAGATTAGAGAAGCGGAGAAATTCTTTCAAGACAGAGAAAAACCGATTTATAGAACCGCAAACACAGTGAACTGGGGCGGGACTACATACGAACTGCCGAACTGGTCAGTATGACGTCCGTAGGTGTCACAGTGAGCCCAGCGAAAAATTAGGCTTTGTCCCATCCGCAAAAAAATTGAAATGAGGCGATTTTACGAGTCCATCTGGAGCTTCCACCTTTCTTTGTTCAGTGACGTCGTTAGTTATTGCCTTCCTTGTTTGGTCGTCAATTAATGGAAATTTGGCTGTTTGCATGCATGGCTTGTTTTTGCAGGCATAAATCATGTGTAGTGTGTATTCTTTCTTGATAAGCTTGCACGAGGTTGATAAATATATTTATTTTCGGCTAACGTTTCGACGTCTTCGTCTTCCTCAGAGCCGGTGATCCGAGTCGATGGTCCATGCTTGTTGTTCGCCTCGACGTTGCGTCTTCGCCTTCGTGTCGAGCCAGTTCTTCCTCAGTGATCCATCTTCTCGAGTGAGGCATCCTCACTCAGTGATGCCCTTTTATACACGATGCTGATGGTGGATATATAATGACAATGTCCAGTGGTAACAACTTGTATTTCTTCCGGACATACATCATTGCGATTAGTCACACCGAGGTTTAGGGAAGGTCGGTTTCGAAATATTACATGTGTAGTGTTTCTAGTAGATTCGTGGAGCCTAGGATGCTTTCAAAACTTTAGCGAGTCATCGTACTTGACCTACCCAATGTTGTCATATCATGGTCTTTTAGGAGTAATGAGAAACCTTAATCTTTTTACTGGTTTTGGTGATAGCCATCTACAGGTAGCTTACCACTTTCCTGGGAGGTGGGGCTGAATGTGATCATTTATGATTTTCTGAAGTCGACATTGGGTGACATACTGAGAGTGATCTCGAGTTGTTAAAGAGAATATATGAACGCTTTTCGTCTAAGTTTCAAGTTCTTCTTGCTTACTTGGAGTCGTTTTGTTTAACTTCACGACTGAACGGAATGAAATCCTACTGTGATAGAGATCTGTTGGTATTTGCTTAGTTACGTCAAGTTTTTTATCCTCAAGCCTGTTTGAAACCTTCATTTTAAACACTTTTCTTACTTGTGGTTTACTGCATATTAAGGTGGGTCGCAATTGAATCCATAGTAGTCACTTTTTATTTACTGCCTATAGTTACAAGGATCGACTTTCTATTAACCTCGGCATTGGAATGTGAATGCGTCGTTTTCTTGTTCAGCAGTCGCGAGGTTTTTAAACAGCATACATTTACTTCCATAGAAGAACACAATACAATACAACGCTAGCTGACGTTTCGGCAGTATCGCCTTCTTCAGAGCCTGGAAGGGTACACTGATATACAATCTACAAGGCCAAACGCTTCAATAACACTTACAAAAAGACGAAGAACTCTTTGGTGATCAACACATGATCAACAGCTTCTCGAAAAAACCCACCGCTTATTACGTGATTTCCAATGAGGAAGTTTAGAACAGCTGATTATAGTCGCATATGGTTGATGACTGCACCATCCCATATCAGAAATCGATGCGAACATACGGGGTCAGGTCTCGTATGACCTCCGGGCATTCGTCCCTGCTATTCATTGTAGGGTTTTTGGCATTGATCCAAAAGCCTCAAGGAGTTTTCGCGCTGGTGTTTTGAACGTCTACGTCTACGTCCTAGAACGTCTACGTAACGCGTCTCCTAATAACGCGTACGTCGCTCTCCTTCTAAACTTATCTCGTGGGGTTACTATTTCGTAGCCATTGGAGATGGCTATTTGCCGAGTCAAGTCGCGCGACTCTTCCTTTAGTTCCCTAGTAGTGCACACAGAGGTGGCTGTTCGAAACATGTTTCTCACAATCGCTTTCTTTGTGTGTGAAGGGTGGGAAGAAAGGAAATGAACAAGAATGTTTTTGTTACTTGGCTTTCGGTACCACTTTGTCAGGTAACAGTTTTTTTTCTTTTCTTCGGGGGTTGCTATTGTGCAGTTAAGCTTATGACGGCGTGATGATGTGGAAAATGTTCGTGCTAGTGTACTTGTTCCTTTTTAATCTTTTCTTTTCTTCATCCACGTTCAAACGTTATTATAATACGTGTCTGGATACTTGAATAGTGAATGATCACGAATGAAGATTGTTCCAATGTTAACTTTTTATTTGCTGCGTTCCACAATTTTTTTTCTTTACACCTATTACAGAGTTAACATTGTGATTTCTACTGCATCTTCAGCTCACCCGGATTCAATGCCGATTTGGGCTGCCTTAATCAATCTCGTTGACGAGTGATTGCTGATGCTACGGGTAGATAGGAAACTAACTGAGAGAAAGGCAATATGAAGGACACGCATGTTGTGATGGTGAAAGGCGTTAGTCTCCTGAAAGGGTAATTAATAGCGCGTTCGATCCACAGCGCAGACACCTGCCCTCTGGAGACTGTTGCGTTCTACAGCACAGGTTCCATGTTGGTGGATTGCAATAATTATTGCTGGACGGTAGTAGCATAGTGGTAAGTGATACAGTCGACCAGGGAGCATGGCGGTTGTTCCCACTCGCTCCCCAACTCCAACGTTCTCCAAGCCAAATGGGAACGCCTTAACTCGGCTACCTCTCCAAAATTGCAAGGGCTCCAGTATTCAAAGTCATTTATAAAGATAAAATAGTCGTTTAATATCTTAATCTTACGGAGATTACCAGCAAACTGTAGTGCTGTTCCAGCTGTTGTACTTCTTGCCTACTTTCAGTTTTTTTTCTTTTTGTATTTGACTTCTTCGCCTTCAGATTTTACCGTGGGGCCACACCGAGGGCGCAGCGGTTGGAGGCGCCACTGCGACACACACGTGGAATCGATCACTGCGCCCATGGTCCACCAAACCTTCCATCTCTCCGACGTCGGCAAATTGGTACCAGACTTCTCTGGGAGGATAGTAGCACTGGCTCGATCCATCGGTAGGCCACCGCGAGCCATTGTAGAGGCCAAATATGCATTCAATCACCCCCAGCGGTAATTACTGAAGATGAATGCATGGCGCATCCCTCAGGGTTTGATCAGCGCCGAGAGCTTTTTCCTTTTATGGTTTAGATTTTACCGTAGTTTCCACGTTGTGTTAAAATTTTCAAGAATTCTCTTTGTCTTCAGAGTTCTTCCCTTCCTTTCCCATAAGCATGTAAGTTTTAGAAAGGCTGTTTATGCAAATCAAGTCGTTGTAATCCTTTCTGACTTCGGTGTTAATGGCAAACCTATTTCAGTGGAAGCTGTTTATGTTTTTCGCTTTTATCTCGTTTTTAATGTTCCACACTGGAAGCCGATGTACTACTGACATATTTCCTTACAATATTCTCAGATCAGGAATCGTTTTCCATACTTGTATTGATTACTTTTCAGCATTTCGTATGCCGTCGTCGTTTCTACGACGGCATGTTCGTGGTCTTCTACGGGGTAAATTCAGTCCATCGCCAACTTTCGATGGTGCACACGTTGTTGAGGTCAGAACGTACTGGGCACGTTTTTTATGAAAAAGACAAAGAGAACGATATTTGTGGTTTTCTAATCCTATTTTTAGGATGATCCACCAACCCCTTTGGACGATCAGGGGGCTTTTCTTTCACAGTGTCACTTGGCGGGTATTGATGGTCGTCGAATAGAATTTCCGGAGGTGAACAGTTTTTTTTCCTTGTAATTGATTTTTGGATATATAATCTTTGTTTTGAACTTTTTGCTTACTAACCTTCGTGTTTCGAATCACTAAAGCTCTGAAGAAGGCATTAGCACTAAAATTTCTGCAATAGTAAAATTCTATCACCACTCGTGTAAACTTGTCAATAAACCAAGGCATTTATTACTGTTCTAGGTATACTTTGGTAAAACTGGTCTAGATATACCATGCATACAACTCGAATGCTTTAACACTGACGTTTTTGCTAGCTATACTGGTCCCGATGGCGGATTAACGCAGGTTATTTTTTAAATTACTTTTTGAACAGGTGAATGCAGAAGTGTTTTCACGTATTATTACGTTACTTAGATACTTGAATGGCCCATCTTCACTGGTTATGCGGCCCCAGCGAAACCTCTATTCTTCAGACTTTTGCTGGCCTATCTATTGCGGTTCTTTGGAGTCCCAAGGTCAACATGGCCAAAGTCTGGCTCCAGGTCGTCACCACTACAGGCAGTCGCTGGCGTTGTGCATCTGAGGGAGATTTGCCACCATGTGACTAGTTTGATACCAGGACGGTGGTAGATCTTGGTATTGGTTTACTCTTAAGTGGGCTTCCTGATGAAAACGTCGAACTCCTTCTCAGCTTGGGAGACCCTGCCAGAGGGATGAATGCCGTCGCTGTACATCGCAGCCCGACACCCAGGATCACCTTCCAGCCACGATTAGGCGGTATACCGTTGGTAGGGTATTATTATGTTGAGTGTCGTAATAGAAATTAGTGAGTGTTTAGTGCTTTATTTTCATAGGCTAAATGATGTAAATATTTTCATGTTCGTAGTCCCAGTTTTATTCCGCAGAGCTGTATCGAATATCAATCGTTGTTTCTTCCAAGTACTCCCAGGGTTTTCCTCATCGTGTAATGCTTTAGTGTAATTTTGTCCTAAAATTAGGTTAGAAATAAGTTTCACTTAAACTATTGATTGTTTTGTTTTTCGAGATAATTTGGTAAGCACCCGTATCGGAGCATCGATTAGTTGAGAGCTTAGATTCTTAAATATTCCTGCTTATATTTCCCTCTAACATTTCTCAGTAGTACCTTATTAAAAAAAATTGTGATTTGGCACGTCTTCCTTCAGTAATCATCAATGTCTTCTAATTGCTAGTAGATGATGTTCTACTTTCACAACGTCTTGACTACTTCGAGTGTTTTCTTTGATTGACTCCGTGGATTCTTTATAGTTTATTTGGTTGACTTCCCTTCATATCAACATGATGGTAGGATTTGGGTTATTCTAAGGTTGATTGAAGGCGGCCAACTGACATTTACGCTTCTGTTGTCAGTGCCTTCGAAATGAACACGTGGTGGAGGGGTGGTGGGGGAGAGTGTTTACAAAGTGACACTAGAATAGATATTTATGCAGGGAATATGTTATTTGAAGTTTAATTCAGTTGATGAGGTGTTCGACTTAATCTCTAGAATAATGGCTATGAACTTTTCTTTGTCGTCCTTAATCACCGAATACGGTCAATGTCCTCTTAGTGTAGACTGAGATTTGATTTTTGAATAACGTATGTGGTATGAAAAAGGAATTACGTTGGAGTAAATAGAAGTGATACTTAAGGGGATTGATTTTTATTTTATTTATTAATATGATGTTTCATGACATTTTCTACGGATCCTAGAGCTTCTTTCATTCGTTTCATTGCCCCTTCCATCTATCATCCACATTAAGATTTGCGTGTGAGTTCGGCCTATACTTAATGAATCCGGCTTCGTCACGAATGTCCTTGAGTGCTAATCAAATTGATTCTTCGTGAGCTCCAGACATATATCAGACGGAGTATTGCCAACTCTTTACCACATTCAGTAGTGGGCCATTGTGGATCAGAGAAAAAGAGTTTTCCCAGAAAGGTCCACTAGCGACTATTGGAATTAGAATTTGGTTGAGCCTATCCTTAAATTAAGATGGATAGAACTGAATATAAATATATGGAGGTGTAGCACAGTGATGGTGTTGCCGTTCATCAGAGACATGGCTCTGGTTCGTCCCCTCATCGAGTTCACCAAGACTGCTATCGTGCCGGTGTCGACAAAGCGGTGTACTAGGCTTGTCCAGAAGTTCATTTCCTGTAATCCAAGTGGAAACACTAACTCGACTGTCCTAGGACACCAGGTACCATCGATTCGACCAGCATCCAGCAAATTTCATGAAGATGACCACAATACTCAAGAAGCTGCCGAACCCACACACAATATGTACGAAGACCTTCGTGAATGAGGGATGCGAAAAACGAATCGAGAGCAATAAATGCCGGAATCTGCGCGTTAGTTGTGGAGACGAGTCGTGTAAAATGTAGATAAGTGAGCTTCGAATAACTTTGTGGAAAAAAAAACAATCCATTGGAGGATATGTTCCTGTCCGTAGAATGTCTGTCTTAAATGGATACTGTGCAAGATCGTAAAGAAATTACACATTGTACTAGAGCACTAATGTTACAGACTTTCGAATTGAGACATTTGTCGTTAAATAATTAAAATTCTGTTTTGAGGTTGGAGAAATGCGACGACAACCGCTAGTACGGATGGCAAATTTAGATGATGAGATGAATCTGTCCATGGATGGTACAAGCGAATATGATGAGAGCGATGAAGATGATGATGGCGATCAACCGATTCCAGCGCCACTGCGACGAGATAAAGATAAGAATAGGTATCTTGTGGCCATGTGCTTCATTTTAACCCTTAAATCACAATGCCTTGGGCAGACTTTGACCAGCCTTGCCTCGGGATTCCAAGGAAACAATGGTTAAACCAGCAAAACTAAAAATGGAGAGTGTGCTGAGGCCCGCACAATCAGTGGGTACGGGTCATCCAAGTAAATAAGTAAATCATGATGCCTAGTTTCCAGCCGCACACGCTTTGAATTGGCAATTCCGGCCTATCTACCTCTCCCTCCATCCCCACGTACTATTCGTATATGCTTTACTTATTAGCAGTGGTATTTGGTCCATTATATCAGTACAAAAGGGGAGCGTGGAGCGCAGTGGTTAGTGGCGTCCTACAATACATACGGGGTAGATTCAGCACCCCTGATTCATCAAGCCTTCCATCCCTACGGAGTCGACAAATTGGTACCAAACTTGTCCGGGAGGATAGCAGCACTGGCTTGATACATCGGTAGGCCACCGCGAGTCATTGTAAATGGCAAGATATACATTCAATCAGTTTCACTGATGCTTAATGAAGTCGAATGCATGGAGCATCCTTCAGCAATTAATCAACGTGGAGAGCCTTATCTTTTTTATATTGATTATTTTCTGTTTGAACTATGAGTTTCCATGTAATGTCATTCTCTCAGTTCTTTAGTAAAAGGGTAAAACTAAATGCCTTTGGATTGACGCTTTCTGCATTGTGTTGTAATCACTGTGTAGAATGAGTATGGTCTTTTAGGAGCGGAGTTCTACTTGGGTCATGTTCTTCTTTGATAGGCCCAAATGGTCACGAAAGTACACCAAACAGTCGTGGTACAGGTGTGTTTAACTTTTGAACAAGCAGTAAATTCTACGGTAAATCGTTGTGTAGTGCTTGAACTCAACTATAGTTCGTGCGGAAGCCAATTATCCGAATAATGAGCATGGTTCATATTGTAGGACCCAGCTGTCATCTGCACTAGCAGTGTCTTTTAGAATTTTAGTGGTTCGTAGACATTGATAGAAATCACTCTATGAATCACTGACTCCGCCTGGCTTTTAAAGTGAACTTTTGTAGATGTTGCAAGTGCAGGTCTCCAATTGAAAAATTATATGTAATATTGTTTTTTCATTAACTTTTCCACTTATTCTGCAGTTTGTTTTTCATGATGCATGAGTCTGATGCTTATCCAGCGTTGTATAGTTTCCATCTGGATTTTCTTCAGTTTGAGAGTGTTTGTGTTTCTGATCTTTTATAAGTTAGAATCCTGTTGGTATTGTGCCCAACAACTGCGACGGTGTAGATATTTACAGTAGGGGTTTATTTCGTCAAAAATGTAGGTGGTACGTTGTTAAAAAGCTTGTGAAACATGTTTAAAGAAGAATTAAGTATTATTGTTTATTAAAATAGTTACTTAATTGGTTGAATTTCTTACTTACTTAATTTCCTCAACTATGTGTTGTAGTGTTAAGTATTGGCTAAAATATGTAAAGTGGACGGTATGATTTCCTTTCGGCTCACACGTGATCGAAAATGAATTAACCTTTAAAATTTGGACAGAATTATCACAGATCATTGTGAATTTTATCAGATAATATAAAATCCATTAGAATTTATCTGGGCATTGCTAACAATGCTTGTTTTGTTATTCTTTCAGAAAGACCAACATACTAGGGAATGTATCTAATGGTTGTTATTGATACTGGCAGTCAAACGGAGCTAAGTATACATTCTTATTAAGCTGATCATAGCTGAAAGTTGACATTATTATGCGAATGAATGGCATTAAAGAGCTTGTCTCAACAGTTGTTTACATTATCTATGGCTTTCCAGAAATAAACATAGTAGTGCGAAGTCGGAAAGGGCCAACATCAGGGTTACATGTTATGTTTTAGTTTTAATGATTTCATACGGTAGTGTTCTTCCAAACGGTTTACTGGCTCGTCGTGGTTGGGTGTTCCTGGGTTCCGGGTTGTGATGTACAGTAGTAGATTCATCCCGTGGCAGGGTTTCCCAAGCGGAGGAGTCCGGCGTTTCCATCAGGAAACCTAGCTAAGAGTAAACCAATATCAGGATTCACCACTGTCCTGGTATCAAATTCTCATGGTGGCAAACCTCCCTCTGGTCCACACGGACGGCGACTGCCTGTGGTGGTCACGACCTGGATGGCCTAATTGGCCTCGGGACTCCAGGGAACCAAAATAGCTCAACGAGCAATTCTCCGAGAAAAAGTGGAAATTGTGCTGAGCCCCGGACAACCAGTGAAGACGGGCCATCCAACTGTCCGAATATGTAAGTAGGTATGCGGCAGTATTAGTCAAATCTAAGACGGCACATTTGTTTAATTACTACATCTGAATAGATGTGCTCAAGGAATTTCTAGTTTACTAGTTATACAATGGTTTGTGATATCTAAAAAGAGTGGAAACCAGGTTCCATGTTTCCGTTTTCACCTACTATCACCTTTTTTTTGGAATTCTGATTGATATTCTAGTGCTTTCGTGAGTGACTGCCAATATGCTAACAACAGATTGTTTAAATAGGGATTTTTTCAGACGTCTCTTTGCAAATGAGGAAGTTTATGGGAAATGTCGTTTGCAGAAAAGCTCTAATTTACGGAGACCATTCGTTGAATGGAAGCTTACGAATGTTGCTTTAATGAGTTGTTTAGTGGGAAATTCAGGAGAACTTTTTACAAGGACAAAAATAGTGGAATCCTTTGTTAATTTGTTAACATTGCTCTGTTTCCGTTACGGGATTGAGGGCAATTATCCCGAAATTTTACATTACCAAAAAACAGCTGCTGCTTTGATTCCGCCTTTTCCGATATTTCCTTAAGAATTGAAACGTTTGACTGAATATGTGGCAGTGGTAGTTCTACTGTTCAGAACAGTACAACTGGGAGCTGTTTGATGAAGAACGGGCTTTTGGTGCCTCCGTGTCACTCTACGAGAAGAATCCACTAACCGGTGTTAACGCCGGTGAGCCAGTGGCTGATGTTTGGGGTGTCATCGGGAGAAGCAACAATGGGGTGAGTTAACTTTGTTATTAAATGGAGAGACACGATTACTTCTTATAGCTCTCATATATTCATTGTTTTTTCAATATAAAGGTGCTAGCTTTGGCGGACGGTGTTAATTGGGGTGATGGAGCTCGTTTGGCGGCTCGATGTGCTGTTCGCGGTGCAATTGACCACATGAATGAGCATATCGAAAAAGGAAACCTGAAGAGCACTACGGTTAGTGGTTTCTTGCGGTTTATTTTTTTACTACTATACTGCTTGCTAAGGAAGATGTAGATCTCTTGTTAACCTCAGAAAACGGATTAAGCATAGGTGTAGTCCCTGTTATCTAAAATCTCATTACATAAACGTTTTTAGGAAGTGTTTCACGAGCTGTTAGCTTCTTTCCATTCTGCTCACTCTTTGATATTACAAGAAGGTGGTATGCTGACGACGCTTTGTGTAGGTGTTGTAGCACCGGCGGTGAACTGTGACAGGTACACTCAGTTCCTGTACTTTGTTCTGATTTACTGTTATGTTTGAAGTATTTTAATAGTACCCAATGGTCACAACAGCCAGTCATTTAAAGTAAATAAGATTTGTAGTTATGGTGAGTTACTTCTAATGAATGCCAGTTACAGCTGGGTGTTGTGCGTCTGCAATGTAGGCGATTCATTGTGCTTTGTATACAATCAAAACTATGGTGTCCGGGAAGTGACGATGGGCAGTCATGATATTGATCAAGTTTGTTCATTCATTACAACGTCGTATTAGCTCTTGTTTGTTATTTTTCGGCGTTGATCAATCCCTGAGAGATGCGCCGTGCATTCGACTTCATTACGCATTGGAGGTGATTGAATGCATATATGACCTTTACAATGATCCGCAGTGGTCTGCCGATGTATCGAGCCAGTGCTGCTATCCTCCCAGGCAAGTCTGGTACCAATCTGCCAACCCCGGAGGGATGGATGGCTTCGCGGACCAGGGGCGCGTGATCGACCCTATGTGTTTTCCAGGGCGCCTCCGACCACTGCGCTACACGCTCCCCAATGCATGTGGTTACACTTTTATTTTCACTAAGGTAATTATAGGTTTTGAATTATCTTGGACCATCTTTAGATGCGAGATATGCGAGATGCGGGTGGAGCTTTAGGTCCTGTTGATGGCAGAAATCCTCAGTTGCATAATTTGACGTGCAGCATGACATTTGTTGAAGAAGGTTTGTTTTTCAACTGTTTCCAATGTTCAGATGTTTTAGGTGTTGTCAACATGATGTTGAGTTTTTATCCATTGCCTTTTACAAGATTTCACGGCATGGTATCATTTGTGAAAAAAAATCATTTTGTTTGTTTCACAAATAATACCCTGCCGTTAAAACTTCCAAATGGCAGTAAATAAAAAGTGAGAATTGTCAGTTTCAGCTATAGCTTCAGCTTAGCTGGGTTCAGTGGCGATTTGGGCTCACCAGATCAATCCCGTTGACGGGTGATTGATGATGGCAATGATCGATAGAACTAGCTGAGAGACTGGGGAAATGAAGAGCCCGCATCACATAGTATGGTGGTGAACGCGTTAGCCCACAGAAAGTGTAATAGCGCATTCGTTCCCCAACATAGACACATGCGGTCCGGAGTTTTGCAAATGTCTCAGTATCATTGTGGTTGTTGTCAACATAATTCATCTATTTTATTTAAATCTGTATTTTACGTTTTGTTATTCAAGGAGATATTGTCTTCATCACATCAGACGGTGTATCAGACAACTTTGATCCTGTTGTTGGAAAGTTTTGTGTGATAAAGAGAGCAAAAGTAGAGAATAAGGAGAATTCTCAACTTCCCCTGCCTGATAACCGGAAGCTGTCAGTGTGAGTGCTTATTCCTTAGTGTCTGCAAGCTTAATAGAAACACTTCCTAACTGCTTTTAATTTCCAAACAGTAATTGTCGTATCTCCAACAAGTTTTGTATTTTAATGTTTTTTTAAGTCTTTTTTCTCTTTTTCAAACATATCATCTAATTTATTAACCTTCAGTCAAGTACGTGAACGAACATTGATTAATTTTGACTATGATCCATAGAGGTGCTTGAGTTCGGGAATAGATTCAGCTGCAACTTTAGGGTTTATGGACTTTCCTCCTCTTTGACATATTGAACATAGGTCGAACGTGGTCTTTCTTCGAAACCCAAGACAGCACTAATACGACTTCCTCAGGTTATCACTACAAGCAATTGCAAGTATTTGTGGATCAGGGGGATATTTGCTGCATTTCCAATCATATTCCGGGACAACGGCGATTCCTGTAACGAATGGTAACCCTAGGACCGTTTATGGACGGTGTTACAAACTTAGGAGGTAAAATAAGGCAATTCCCATTTCGTTGAATTGCGAAATGAAAGATTCAGAACGCAGTAACATGTTACCTTGAGATATCCTTATCTTCATCGGAATCGTGCATTGTATTCATTCCCACCGGATTTCATATCCTTTGCTTTATCAACGACTTTGGTGAACTTCCATATTTGTCATTATCTCAGTATTTTTCATGCACAACGCAATGACCTTCTGTAGACATTCAACACAATTTGTGATTCATTCTAGTTATTGTGGCGTGTAGCGCAGTGGTCGGAGGACCCCTGACACACACCTGGAATCTATCCCGGCGCCCATGGTCCACCAAGCCTTCCATCCCTCCGGGGTCGGCAGATTGATACCAGACTAGTCTGGGAGGATAGCAGCACTGACTCGATACATCGGTAGGTCGCCGCGAGCCATTTTCAAGGCCAGATATGCATTCAGTTACCTCGAAACGATGCTTAATGAGGTCTAATGCATGGCGCATCCCTCAGGGATTGATCAACGCTGGGAGTTTTATCCTCTTATCCTTTTATTACTTATTGTATCGAAGCTGGAAAAAATCCGTTTTTTTTAAGCGATCTGTTTTCCGAATACAAATATATAATTTCGGGAAGAAATAATGATGGTGTGACCATATACCAAATTTTTACCTTTGTAGCATTTCGTCTCATTTTCTTAAGATTTAATGAAATTAGATTTGAAGAAGTCAAAAAATAAACGTTCGTTTGTCACAGGTTAGATTAGCTAGTGGGAACGGGAACTTAACAGGAATGTATTAAATTCTATCAGTGCCACCAAAGACTCACCACCAAGAGAGTTCGCTCGAACGCGTACCTGTGCAGCAACACTGCCGTGCGTTGATGCAGCAAGTCGCCATGAATTGATGCTGGTTCGAATGCGAGATATCATCGCGAACGGTCTCGATCCTCCAAAGGAAGTGAGTGGTCGTATCTTGTCATAAATTAATAGATATATTGATATGTTAACTTGTCACTTGCTGTTTATTATTTTTTGCGATAGAGTATGATGTGAAATACAACCACTGTGATGGTGAGATATTTGCAAAACTTGGACCCCGAGTCAGATCGAACCACGATTACCCTTTCCGGGGGCTCACATTACGCGCCGCACAATTTGGGTCCTTATTTTAACTTTCTTTCAGTAAGTTTTGATATGTCATATATCCCATGTTCCATGTGATAAATTGGTTTGGTTTTTACTTCAAAAGGGAATATGACCGTTTTACATTTTGAGTAGTAGTTGATATTGGGAGGAGGGGACAGATCTGCCATTGTGAATGTGTGACTCGTTTTATTTCTAGTCTTTTTTTCGCCGAGAGGTTTTTGTGCTGCACGTTTTATATTTAGTCAATACGTTATTGAATGCAAGCCAGTGTAGATCGGCTAGTGAAAGTGTTTCTTTACGTTTGGTAATCTACAAAGTTTTCTTGGCAGGAGTATCGTGGAGCTCATTTTTAATTAAAACATAACGTAGCGTGAATATCACATAAGAGCTTGTTAAAATAGACAATGTCCATCATGTAACCAACGGCGAAAAATTGTTTTTATAAGTTGGGCTGATCTGCTAGCATGTGTTGATTCAATTCACAGCTGGCGTGGTTAAGAATTAAGTGACGATGCTACTGCTTTATGAGTTATGAGCTGTGCGAAGGCTAAAAAATATAAATTAGCTATCTTTTTCTCTGAAGATATATATTGTTAGTGTATCGTATCTATAATCTTTCAAAGAGCAAAAACTTAACGGATCGATAAAGACGGAATATCTCAGGCTTGTCGCTTTTCGTCTACTCGTGATTCGCTTTTTCCACGTGTTACCGCTTCTGTACTCTCACATCGTCTCATTCAGTTTGCTACTCATCTAAGCCAGTGAGTTACAACACCATCATGGTTTAAAGCGAATTCCTGAATCATTTGGCATATACTGAAATCAGAAGTGTATTTGTCTCAGGTTTTTAGCCTTCTTATTTATTTTTTGTTTAAGGGATTTAGGTAGTAACTAGAGATTACGTTTAATATTTTTTAGCAACCTCTTTGTTCAGGGCAAAACGTCGAACGCTTGAGAATCCTGATTTGTATAGAAAAGAGAAGATGACGAGATCTGAGCAACGTTCAAGGTGAACGGCCGCATTATTCTGAATTTTCTTTATTCTGAAAGTTGAAGTACATTGGGCAGCGCAGTGGTCAATGATGCAACCCAACACGAAAAAAGGTTCTGGCTCGGTCTCTTCCCGAACGCTCCCCTCGATCCACATGGGAACGCCTTAGCTTCGGCTATCTCCACTATTAAAAGCAGAATCAACTCGACCGGAATTTTAAGACATTCGTGAAGAAGGCAAAATGCTTAAGCAGCAGCAGAAACAACACACGAAGTGTTCGAAGACCTTTATGCAAGTGCGAAGAAAACGAGTCGAATTCTGAGATATGCATAATAGATGTGACGAAGGATTATTTACTTTACTTACGTGGATACTTGGATGGCTCGTCTTCACTGGTTGTGCGAGTCGCAATATAATTTCCATTCTTCGAAAACTTTCTGGTTTAGCCACTGTGGTTCCCCGGAGTCCCAAGAACAGCATGGCCAAAGTCTGCCTCAGGTCGTCATCACCACAAGCAGGCGCCACCATTGTGAACAAGAGGGAGACTTGCCACCATGCGTCTAGTTTGATACCAGGACGGTTGTGGATCATGGTATCAGTTTACTCTTAACTGGGCTTCGTGTTGGAAGCGTTAGACTCCTTATCAGCTTAGGAGACGCTGCTGGTGGGACGGATCCTCCCGCTGTACATCGCAGCCCGAAACCCATGAACACCTCCCAGCCACAATGAGGCGGTACAGCTGGAAGGACTGGTTATTTAAAACAAAAAATTGTTTTGCAGCAAATGGTCGCAACTGATTTAAATGACTTGTGAAATCTGGTACTAATCATCTTTAGAAGACGAGCAGTGAGGGAGAAGATAGCGGATATGCCTGGCAAGTTGGATCATGCTAGTGTAGTTGCGTATACCGTTGGAAGACATGGTTTACGTGGTTTGCCTTCAACTATCTTTTTCCATTCCTCTCATTTTTTTTTTGAAATCTAGCCTCCTCCGTTTTCGATTTTCCCACTTTTTTCTCAAATGATGTCTTCACTTTTAGACGAGGACTCACCAACTCCCAGGGGAATTAGTTGCCATTCATTTGAGGGTATGTTCACAGTGGGAATAGCGTAACATTTGAGTTCGGATAGACATACGTCTGACGCTTTTCAAACTTCAAATTTCATTGTTTTGGAAATGATTACAATAGGTATCAACGATGAAGATGACAGTGAAGTGATCGAGACAAGAACTACGGAAGCGAACATGGAGAATTTCGCTCGAATGGATAAAGCTTCGGTTAGCCTTTTGTTTCGTAGTACTCCGTATCCGTAGCTTTTCTGCCGTTTCATTCTATGGAAATGTTTTGACGAAATGTGTTGTTGTGGGTCTATCATCATTGTCACTTAGTAGGTTTTAATTTTTTATATAATTTGTCCAGCTGAGAGTTATATGGGGACGTGAATTAAGTATAGGCGCATGTAAAGTATGCATTTGGAATGTTGATGCAGGCTGACTGTTGTTCTTGAGATGGTTGAACTCATGAACCTTTGTAGAGAACTGTTGCCGATAAATTTATTTATATGTGCTTATGAATTGATCTAGTTGAGCTGACGCAAGGTTGGTGTAGTTGTTGTTATTGCTGTTGTTGTTGTTGTTGGTCAACGGCTGATGTTTCGGCGATTTCGCCTTTCTCAGAGCCTTTCTCTTACGAGTAGGACTCCTAGTGGAATGATGGCTCTGAGGAAGGCGAAATCGCCGAAACGTTAGCAGCCATCGACCAGCGACAGAAACAGCAATAACAACAACGACAACTGCACCAACCTCACATTACCTCAACAAGATCAGTTTACGAGAACAAATGAATAAATATGTCGATTATTTATGCCGATGTTTATAGAAAGTCCGTCTTTTGAGTTACAGTTGCTGATAATATATGCATATCCTTCTTGATATGTTTTGTTAATTGTGAATGTCGCACCAATGTATATGTTCTAGTGTTGTGCGACACTAGTAATGAGAGATGGCGATCGGGCAACATTATACATGACCGTTAGTCGTTCACCTCAAGGATCGCCAAAACATCCGGTAAGAATGCGACGAACACGAACTCGTGCGTCAACGGACTATACTCTAATAGACATCGTTGAACCTCGGTCCCCAGAACGCTCTGAAAGACCGATCAGCCCTTATGAGCAATTGCCTGTGAGTGTTAGTATATTCTATGTCGCTTTACTGTAGCTCAAGTGTTCATTCTTCTTGTTTTTCTAAGTAAAACCTCTAGGCAGTGGCTAAGAAATTCTCTCATCTTAACAAAGTACTGAGTTGCTACAAGAAAGTGTGTAGTAATACCATCAGTTACATTATCTTTTTTGTATGTAACTGTACGCAGTTTTCACTTGAGGGCTGAACTCGCCCTTAATTCACTTATTCTTTTCATAAGAAATCTGAAACATTAATAATCCAAACCTCTATTAGGTAGGTAATCTGCGACAGCGTCTTTAGAATGAGTCATATTTTCGTCATTGTTTTAGTTATTGCGATAACTGTTTAACCTCAAGTATTTGTTTCCTTAGAGCTATGCACAATACCCCAATAATTTATTCCTTCATTAACAGTAAAAGCTATTCCTGATGTCGAACTGCGATATGTAGCGAGGATCCACCTTACTGCATTGTCCCCTAACTTGACTAGTTCGACACCGAAAGTAAAGGTACTTGTGATGTCGAACTGCTCTCTCTAACGATGGAAGAATCCATCTCGCTGCGTTGTCCGCTAACTCGATCAGTTCGACGTTTTTATCTGTAAACCCAGCTAAGAGTAAATATGTGAAGAGAAGCAACTCGGCAGGCTTTAACTAATTAGTGTTTTGCCAGAATGAGTAAACATGAAATGCATCGTCGTAATAAGAGATACAAAAGTGCAGTGCTTTTCTTGCCTTTAGAGCGAGTGAGAAGAGCTCTTGAACCTGGCAATGATGAGGGGAACTTTAGTGGTACATTCTCGAGTTGATAAAGTGTATATCAGATGATGCAAGTAGCACTCAGACGCGAAATCCTTATTTGCTAAAATAACTTCAAAATAACTCGTGCACACACTTAATATATCTTAATTCAGAAGGAAATTATTTAGTGGTTTAAAAGAAACAGTTATCAATAGTTAACTGAAATTTAATGATTGAAAATGTTTACCAACTTTACAAAGTTTTACCTTGAATAGGCTCGTACAATGTGGAAATGGGCTCTGGGAATGTAAAATTCTTAGTTGTTAACGTTTTTTACCTTATAATTATGCACAGTATCTTTTTCAAATTATAGGTACATATTGCGACTCCACGAGAAGGCAGTTATGTGAATGGTTCCGGTAGTTGTAGTAAGAGCCGTAAGAAGCACTCAAGGAGCTCAGTAGCTCGTCATACTCTTGGAGTAGATGTACAATGGTTGAAGTGGTTCGTTACCAAGAAGGAAGACCTTGAACAGACACAATCTACTATAGCACAAATGAGCGATGGAAGGCGAGGAAATCTGTCCATTTTATCTCAAATTTTTTTTCTTTGGTCACGATTTAGGTAGTTACTACAAGGAATATGGTCATAAATTAAGAACTTTCCGTTTCTGTATCAGTATTTTTTATATTTTGTAGAAAATCATTCCCATTTAGATTATATTTCCACATCTTAGTACATTGTTATTCATGTTTTTCCTAACACTACTGTTGGTTATTTGTTTTGGAAAATGGGGAACACATCCGTCCAGTAACTTCACACCACTAGCTTACGTGCTGTGAGTATGTGTGGCGCAGTGGTCGGAGGCGCCCTGCAACGCACACATGGGATTGATCCCCACACTCCTGGTCCACCAAACCTTCCATCCCTCCGGGGTCTGCAGATTGGTACCAGACCTCTCTGAGAGGATAGCAGCACTGAATCGATACATAGGTAGACCACTGCGAGTCATTGCAGAGGCCAGATATATGTTCAATCACCTCCAAACGACAATGAAGTCGAATGCATGGCGTATCTCTCAAGGATGGATCGCCGAGAGCTTTGTCCTTTTTGACCATCTGAGCCTAGTGAACTAAACTAAACACTACTCACCCTTTTAATGCGCTTTGTGTTCCTTATGCGAGCTGAGCCCAATGGGCAGCTCAGATACATGACAAGGATTGTTGGACGATGTACCAGTTTTCGCTTACAGCATAACCTATGAGAAGTAACATGAACGGTGAGAGATGGTCGATTGGATCTCGAACTGGAAAATATGTCTTTACTTCCTTAGACGAGCTAAACTCAGTGAACAGTCATGAAACGTGAAAGGAAGAGATTGTTGGGTTACTAATGAATGCACTGTTTGCTTCTGCTCGGATCTCTCGATGATTCACTTGAGGACCGATGGTACACTTAGATGATGATAGATGAATAAAGCCTAAATGAGTCGTTTAGCAGTCGAAAGGAACGTAATTCGTAGTCGGATCACCTGTCATCCCGCTGTTCGTCTAATGGCTCAACCCGACGCGATTAAATCTTCCATTTCTCCCTGTCGTATTCAAGAGTAGCCCAGTGGTTTGCTCTTACTCTAGGAACTTGTTAAACATCATACCTTTCTTCTAGGGTTCTCGTGAAGAACTCTGACCATTGGGTCGGTGGTCTTCCTGTAATACGTTTGACATCTAAGGGAATTCACTCACTAGTGGCTCTTGTCTATCGGTCGTCGTTCATACGCATTGCATGTCCGTCGTACCTTATCTTTGCCAATTTGGCGTATAGAATGACGTCCTTGATCTTTGATTGTTATTGCATATTGGAGCTTCTGATCCCTTCCTTCACTTGCGTGATACGGGATACTTCTAGCGTCGTCCTTTGCACCGCGCTTCCAATAACGCTGAGTGATCTCTTATCTTGCTTACGTAGCGACCAGATTTCGGACGCATATGTAAGGGGAGGAAGAATCGTGCAGTCGAGAAGCACAAAGTTGGGTGTTCTATGTTTTCTTGTCTACATCCTTTGTGCTCTTAAAAGTTCCCTTAGTGGCTGGCTTTCTCCTACTCAACTTTGGAACTGAGTCGTTCATCATATTGATTTCCCGACTTACATGACGTATCTATTTAGCGATATTCGTTCGGTTGAGTGTGAATGGGAGTTACAAAACCATTCCCCTTATGAACACCGTTTTTGTAAGATTTAGTCAAAAACCAATTCTTCCACAGGCGTTGTGAAAATCGGCATATCTTAATATATTAATATATAAACATAATTTTTATTCCATTTTTTAAATTTTTATTCTTTTCGGTTTTTTTTCAGTTGTCAAGCTTCGATGATAACGGCGATGACTAGTACAGAAAAGGTTCCGTTGCGTCAACGTCTTCGAGTGCTGTTTGGGTCAAATCGCAATCTACACGCTCACCATATAGATCCTCATGTCTCGAACCCCGCAGCAGAAAAGCCCATGAGACCACAATGGCTAGCGTTGCGCACTAGCAGAAGAGTGTAAAATGTAACTCGGTTCCAGTGTTGTCTTCTTCATTAGAAGCTTTCGGACCAAAAATTTTCCTTAAAGGTAAATGTGGGCCATGCTAACAAGAAATCCTAGCTTCACTGATTTACTTGCTGTACGTGCCACGTGGATTTCTGGTGCTTCATTAGGTTATCTAGGAGAAAACGATAAGTATGGTAGCATTGCTCCCTGTTGTCTGTTCAATAGTGCTTCAGGGGGAGATGTTATCCAATCGTTCATACTAAAGATTGATTACTGTACGCAGTTTTTGACAATATCTGGAACATTATTCTTTTCGTTCCACTCAGTCAATGCCTATGTACTGAATTGTAACGTTTTAGAATCACAGAAATCATATGGCCAGGATTGAAATATGGTTCTAGCTTCTGATCATCGTGGTTCTATTTATGATACTAACATGGTTCTGTTAGCCATTCCAAGTTTCTAGGTTGCCTAGGTAACGCTCTCAAAAACGTCTTTCCTATCGATTATGCATAGCATGTTTGATTTTTC